TCTCTCCAGCGCTGGAAAGCTGATCCGATATTTACACGGGTCCTACTTCTTGCCTTATTGCCTTAAGCCTTCTTTTGTTCCGCAGACGTTTTCCTCTTTTGTTTTTTATCTGCCATCTCTATCTTTCTGTCGCTCGGCTACTGTCCGTCCTGTGCACTGAACTCTCTCTCCTCCACATCATGAGTAGACACGCCCCTTACTGCTGATTGGCTGACTTTTCTTTTGACTTTAAGGCATATTTTGCTTTCGTAGATCATTCGTTTCTCGAAGGCTATTATTGCTTCCGAAGCATAATGATATTCCAGTGAACTTGTAACCTGAGCTGCACTTTCCTTCATGCAATCTTCCCACCTTTGTATCTTTACCTCCTGGCCATTGGAGATCGATATCATCTCCAGCCCCGCCTCTGCTGTCATCCCACATCTGAAGCATGTTTTCCTCTTTGCGATTTGATTAAAAACTCATGCTGACACAGGAGACAGGAGACCGGGGACGGCACCTTGAAAGCAGCTCTCTAAACTGCTGCTTTGCTCCAGTGTCACCCGTCATTCTGTACAAGTGACCCATGAGTAAGTGACTCAGTCAAATCCAGTTTGCTTCCCCCATGCTGCAATGACTTTCTACGTTCATTCCCATTCGTCCTGGAAGCCTTAAAAACAGAAACAGCATCACTTAGGCTCAGAGTTTTCTTTGGATGGAATGAGTTGGTTGGCTATGGATCACCAAAACGTTCAAGAACCAGCAGTTTGCTGAATGCTCTGGTGTACAGCTGCTCTTTTACACACTGTATAGTCATAAAACTGGAAAATATTGATGTGTATGGTTCAATAAAGTCTGTTCTCTTTAATTTCTGCAGGAGACAATGGCCAGTCCTGTCCGAATCCAGTCAGACAGCGCTGTTCTTCAGCCACCGCACTCCACAGGCTTCACCGAGAGCTCGCTGGCCCTTCTTAAGCGAGAAGATGGCTTGGAGATGGTCGACCACAAACCTCGCCTTGACGGCTCGGACCGAGGACATCCGGGAGTCTATCTGTCCTGCTTCGACATGCTGTTCACCGAGGAAGCCGCCTGGCTGGTAAGGGTGTCGGATTCGTCCACACCCGCGGCCGTCGGGCCCAGGCTGGAGCCGTGTCAGGAACCGGAGCAGTGTCCTGTGATTGACAGCCCCGGGCTGGGAGCCTCCCCGCTGTCTCCTACTCTGGAGGAACAGGTGGAGGAGCGATCTTTAGAGCAGGTGCAAAGCCTGGTAGTAGGAGAAGTTCTGAAGGACATTGAGACCGCTTGTAAACTTCTCAATATCACACCAGGTAAGATAATATTGATTTGCTGTTGGTTAATAAAGCGTCAGAAACATTCCAATTAAAAATAAAAAATATATTATAAAATCTATATTTACAAATATTAAATATTATAAAATATTATTTAAAAAATAAATTAAAATTATAGTAATTAAAAATATAGAAGTAAATTATTACTAATTTAAAAAATAAAGATTTATTTAAATAATAAATACAAGTAATGATTATTGGTGCAAAATTTTACAATGTGCACAAAATTTTTGACTGGCCTTGCTTTCAAAACTTTCATTTCATGTATTTTAATGTGTTTAATGTTATTCTTAAATATTCCTTGGCTTTAAAGATGGAAGGAAAGATTAACGCTAATGCGTTGTTCATTAGATTCAGTTTACAGTTAGAAACAGGTGTGAACACTGAATTTAGACTAAATTAAGATTAGATTCAGACTGTGATTCTATGCATGTTGCAATAAAGCTGTTCAATAAAGCATGCAAGAAAAACATAAGGAGAGTCTGATATACAATTTTAAAAAGATGTATACTATGAATTCACATTAGAATTCACAGAATGTGATTTTATGCACATGCCAATTGATGCCAATCATGTGTTAGCGAAACAATAAAGGTCAGATATAAATTTTTAAAAAAGAGAAAAAATATATAAGATTATACAAAAACTGCAAAATAAGATTAGGCTAGATTTATATTAGATTAAGATTATGATGAACCATATAAGCAGCTATAGTAATATATAACAAAGATATGATAAACGTCATATATTGATGCCAGATACATTCAGATAATGTATTTAGACAACATTAAACAATAAATTCAGATTTTGTTTACATTATATTAAGATTATAATTGTATGCATATGCAAATATAGCATGCATATTCACATCTACATATGCAAATATAGCATGCATATTCACACATAGCAGAGTGAGACATGTTATCAATATATTATGGTCAAATATTTCTGTAAAATACATTCAGAATATGTTCATAAATATATCGCCTAATAGAAAAATACTTCCACATGAAATATCATAACATCTCGTTCACAGCCGCTGCAGTAAAACACAACATGCTGATATTATCATGACACTTATTCAAATGAACAACTCGCCATTCATCACTCCTGTTCAATGTGAGTGACAGACAGCTCTGAGTTATGATTGAGCCGTGCAAACAGTCAGAATGAAACTGTTAGAAAAGGTCTTTGACTCCAGCAGCCCTGAAGGCAGCTGAAAGCACATAGACCAGGATCTGCCTAATCCTCCGGAGTTTCACTAATGCTCTGAGAAGCTTTGTTGCACTAACTTTCCTTAAGGATATTCAAACGCCTCCCGTATAACGATGATGATCAAGCAAACATTCAAATACGTCTCGCAGATATTGTTTTGAAATATCTGTGCATCTTAAAATAGCTCAAAATTGTCAGTGGCATTTCACATTGCAACTGATTTATTGATTTGTCCGTGTTTTACGAGCACGTTTATGCAATTTGTGGTGTCGTGCTAAATTTATAAACTTATTAAAATAAGTCACACCACCTTACGTAAACACCCATCCCCACTGTTTGCTCTTCTGAATGGCGCTCTCCTTCACTAAGACGTTTCAAAACATTTGGAGTCTGTCCAAACAGCTCTGAATCCCAACAGTGTGCTTTGTCAGAGATGGCTGGTCTGATCTGATCTGGTCTGATCTGATCTTTCAGACCCGATGGAGTGGAATTGTGGGAACGTTCAGAAGTGGCTGTTATGGACGGAGCATCTCTACAGGCTCCCACAGGTGGGAAAGGCCTTCCAAGAGCTGGATGGCAAGGATTTATGCTCCATGAGCGAGGAAGACTTCCGACAGCGTTCGCCACAGTGCAGCGAAACATTACACGCACATCTGGATATATGGAAATCAGGTGAAATACAAATAGTCTGATAAAAAGTACTTACTACAGTACATGCAAAGGACTGTTTGAATTCAGGATTGTGCAAATTTCTGAATGTAAGAATTCACTCCCTTTCATTTAATCAGTGTGTCACACGGGAAGTTGAATCAGAATTTGAATGGCAGGAAACTTACTAAAATGCAATTCAAAGCAATACAGCACCGTGTTGTTATTGTTAACTAAAGCTAAAACTATTCGAATTCTTTTCATTAAATTGAAATAATAAAATAAAAAATCAAATTAGGTTAAAAGGTTAAACTTGAACAGTTAAAAATTAGAAAGTTAAACTTCAAAAAAAATTTAATGAAAATTAGAAGTGTTCTTTTGTCAACTAACTGAAATTTACTAAAACTAAAACTGAAATAAAATAAATGAAAGCTAAATAGAAATATTTAAAAACTAAAAAACACATAACAAAATCAAATCATAAAAATTCAAATAAAACAAATTAGTTAAAGTGAAAATATTAATAAATACTTTTTGCTATTGAATGTTTTTGTGATTAATTTTGACCAATTTATTCTCCTATACTGTATGAACAATGCATCTTATTTTTTAGGACCCATTCCTTTAAGTTAAGAAATACTGTGAAAATAACGAACATAGATTATTAATGTTATGTTTACAGGTAATAAATAATGAAAAATAAATTTTTTATTATTAAAAACAACTTTTACCAGCTATTTGTCTCTTTTATTTAATTGCATTCCATTTTATTCAAATTTAAATTTAAATTTTGCATCCTGTAAGCTGAATGTTTGCATGCATGTGTATTCATGCTGCATTTCTCTCTTTTTTTGTGTGCATTCAGCTGCCTGGATGAAGGAAAGATGTTCGGTTGGAGAGACCAGGATGAGAGGTATGTCACAGAAACATCACAGTAAACTACACAGATGATAACCAATATACAGAAAAATACCATGGCATTACCTTACAAATATACCACAGACAGACCACAGTACTATAGTGAAAGAAAAGAACTGTCATTGTCATGTAATGATTAACCTGTCCAGATCAGATCGATTAATGCCAAAAAAACAAAAGAGGTCATTGTGAGACATGTTCCATACAGAATTTTCATTGAAATTTATATCACACAACTTGTACAAGTATTCTGGCAATTACATGGTACTGATGCTTACAATATTCATATACCATGTTATTTGCATGGAAATGTTATTATTGTTAACTAAAACTAAAACTATTACAAATTGTTTTCGTTTCTTGAAATAAAGCTGAAATAAAATAAAATGTAAGTATTGTTAAAAACGTAAACTTATTTGTATTTCAGTCAGTTGCCAAGGCAACATTTATAATTTTTGTGTAAGTTGAAGTATTAAAATAACTAAAACAAAAACGGAAAAAGAAATGAAAGATAAAGCTAAATAGAAAAAAATATAGGAACATAGAGGGGAGGATGATGATGATTATTATTATTATTATATAATGTACATTACTAAAGCTTAAACTAAAAATTAAAACATATAAAAATAAAGCTAGTTCAAAGTATTAATAAATACTATAATATTATATATAATACTAACACTGGTTCATGATACATGTACATGTTGATTTCTATTTTCTGAAAATTACAGTTTCACTCCATTTGTACAGCAAACAAACTACATGTCACAAAACAAAACACTAGTTAGAATCAATGAAGGGATGTGAAATGATTGACTAAACTTACAGTCCAGACAGTCTTATTAATTTTTGAGTTCTGTCACATGCGTGCAGTCTAGATATAAATGTATTTTTATAGAAAGGATAGCTCTGGCTATGATTTATTTGGACTAAATTCAGTTTTTTATTATGGCGTATTACTTCAAATGTAAGTGCTATACGTGTGCATGTTGTCTCACAGAAGGTGAAGAGCTGTGGTCCGAAGCGGATTCGTCTTGTTCTGGTCAGCCGATCCACCTGTGGCAGTTCCTCAGAGAACTTCTGCTCAAACCTCACAGTTACGGACGCTGCATCCGCTGGCTGAATAAAGAGAAAGGTGAGGACACGACAGCTCTTCTGCAAAGTAAAGGCAATAATGGATGGTGGTGGGTCTGTAAAAATGGGTCCGGACTTGTTTCCATGATGCTTTAAACGATGCAACTCCAAGGTATTTCCAAGAATACCATGCTGCATTCTGAAAAATAATGGTTCTTTGGCTCTGGTTCCATGAAGAACCATTAAAGGGGTCATATGATGCTGCTAAAAAGAACATTATTTGGTGTATTTGGTGTAATGAAATGTGTTTATATGACTTATACTGTCTTTTTACGCCTTGCGTTGCATCGCGCCGAGTAAACATAAAACCATGTCTGCATTTGTGATCGGAGAACCACGAAACCTTTCCAAGGTTTTTTATACTCTTAAAAATACAGGTTCTTTATTGGCGTTGATGGTTCCATGAAGAACCTTTAACATCCACGGAACCTTTCCATTCCCCAAAAGGTTCTTTATGGTGGAAAAATGTTCTTTAGATTCTTAAAATGTTCTTCAATTTAAGAAAAATGGTTCTTTTAAGAACTGTTCACAGAAAGGTTCTTTGAGGAACCAGTAATGGTTCTTCTATGGAATTTCTGCAACAACAAAAAAACCAAAGACATTTTTGTAACCTTTATTTTTTAACAATGTATAATGGGAAAATGTTCTTGAGATTATTAAAATGTTCTTCACACTAAGAAAAACATGGTTCTTTGAAATTGTGCTTCAGTGGCATTGCTGCAAAAAAAAACAACTTTTACAAATTTTTACGAGTATACATGTCCAAAAACATTGTAGTGCCATCCTGCTGTTTGGTGTGTTAGTAAAGTGACTTACCTTATGCCATAACAGATGTGTTTTGGATGCGTGTCTTCACAGGGATCTTCAAAATCGAAGATTCGGCTCACGTGGCGCGTCTCTGGGGTTTGAGGAAGAACCGTCCGGCTATGAACTATGATAAACTCAGCCGCTCTATTCGGCAGTACTATAAAAAGGGCATCATCCGCAAGCCAGATGTCTCACAAAGACTCGTCTATCAGTTCGTCCATCCGGTATAAGAGCAATAGTGAACTCAACCATTGAGACAAGAACTTTATGGACTGACAAGCCCTCCAACACATTTCCTGAGACTATTTCTGGGTTTTGCATGACAGTGAAACCAAGAAAGATGTAAAAAAGTTCCAAGTTTCTATGTAGAAAATATAATTGTGCTTAGAAATGTCTAATATGTACTTGCACTCTTTTAAAAACACTTGTGTGTCTGTTGAAACGTAGTATCAGCTTTGCACTGCTACTTTCTGTTAAAGCCTGTCAAATAAATTATGATGTTTAACAGAAGCACTAAGGTTAAAATAAGAGAGATTTAGTAGATATTCTTTGATGTTACAGGTTCCTCGCAAGGTCTGCCTGTCAGCTAACACTCAGCGTGTGAATCCTGCCAGCGTGTCTCTGAGCAAACCTCGGTTTCCCTGCCCATGATTTACAGTGGAATGACTCGAGTTTGCGTTAATCTCTGGCTGCCACCCAACAAATATCCCTTTTTCTGGTTTGAGATTAATTGCACTGCAAACCTTTCAAGTCTGCCCATGTGAACTTTCTCCACGTTCTTCAGTAATCGGCCACCTTTGCACGCACCTCCCTGCTCACGTCACGTTTCACACGGATGCAAACGAGGAGGGCTTACCTGCGGCCTGTGGATTTTCATACACTGCATTTGTCACGTGTGTTGTAAAGGTTAATTGACAGGTTTAAGTCAGGAAGTCCGAGTTTTGAGCCTGAGGGAGGTTTGGTTTCTATTGTGGCTCTTGTATTTTTTGAAATCTCTATTGTGAAGTCTAATCTAGAGGTCACTGGAGTTGTTTCGGCATTATGAAATATTATCCATACTTATACAGCTATATCAAAGCTGAGAGGTAATTTTTCATGTATATTCAGTTGTTGTTCCTCGTGCATTTTGCCTCAATTTCTTTATTAAATATTCTTTTTCATTTCGCTGTGTCATGGATATTTCACTCGATCTTTTACAGTTATAATTATAATTAATGTAGAATTAATAAGACCTAATTTTTTTGGACATGGTAATATAGTATAATTTTGGAATATCTCAAAGTACAGTACCATTGCTTTACAATTGAATATATTACTGTACCACTGTATTTTTGTTGTAAAAGCATATGGGAGAACCTCATAAAAAAGAGAAATTTAAGAAATAAAATAATATTTATTTTGCAATATTTTCTACAACTCTCATGACAGTTAATATTGCATATACATTTTTAATACCATGATGCATCCAGACGTTATACTTTTGAGTTTATGTTTGAGATTTTTTTTTTTTGCTTTGAGGTGTAAATAGAATTAAGATAATTTTCATATGAATTAAATATATACTATAAATATAATTTCATTATTTTATTCTAATAGTACTTATTGTTATTTAAATGGTTTACAATAATATTTTTATGAAAATGTTTTACTTTTGAGTTTGTTACATTTAGGATTTTTAAGATAATTAAGATAATAATTTCCATATTAAATATTCATTATTTTAATATTTTTATTCTAATAGTATTTTTTTATTTATATTATTTTATTATATTATTTTTATGAAAAATAATAGTAATTAAAAATCTAAAAAACATTTTCTTTAAGAAAAATATTCTTATTTTTTTTATCTGATTTCGAGGTGAAATATGACCTATTTATAGATTATAGGACACTATAAACAGATTAGTAAAGGACTTCTGCAATCCTGACCTCTAGTGGTGACCCAAAGCTTTGTATTTCACTCATTTGCATTGGTCTCAGATTCACCAGTGTTTGTTTTTTTTTGTTTTTTATTGTGAACTTGAATGGAACAGTTATTACACTGACATGAAGAGTAAAACACATCAGTCCAGTCTAAACATACAGTATATATACACATCACCTCCTTCATTCACAATCCATAACAGCTGAGCCTGAGTGAAGCTCAGGCTAAAAACAAGGCTACAGTGTTAAAAATGTATGACAAATGAAATTACCATTGATTATTAATATTGTTGCACAACAAGGAGTTTGCCCGCTGAATCAGTTATAGATCGCATGTTAAAAGACATTCCCAGTCTCACAAACAGGCAAAAGGCAGAAGAAAAAGCATTTGAACACACTTTTCAATGGCGTGTGCCCAGATATCACTGTGAACCCCACAGTTCAATGGTTATGAAATCATAACTAATATCCTGAATCAAATATTTTGAATTTGTAAAAAAGGATAAAAATCTGTTTGCATAAAAAAAGGGATAAAAATGAGAGACAAAAAAAAAACACACACACACACACACACAAGGAAAAGTGATTTTAATGTGTTTTGAGGCATCATTTGCACTTGGAAAAAAAATATGCATTAAAGGAAAACTGCCCCTATTTACACGTTTCTGGTCTTATTGTGCACAATACATTTAAAAATAAAAACGCTCCACCTCTATACTGAATCTCCTTGTTGAATGATGTCATCAAGCCCTTTAATATTTAAGCCCCTCCCCTCAACCACGTGGATCCTTTCCAGTATGTAACGCCTACTTTTCACGATCCAATTAGCATAAAATCAAGTCCCGCCCTACATTTTTTCTCATTGAAAATCCTGTTTCACACATAAATACATCAGATTATGTAAGCAAAATGGATTGAAAATGGATGTTTCATGTTGACACATGAGAAAGGGCCACTAGGTTTAACACAGAACCTCCACTTCAAAATAAAAGTCTAGTATACACATCGCATAGCTGATTCTCGCTATGCTAGGCTTCATGGACGTCATAACATTAATATTGTTACAGGAGACCATACGTGAACACATGTCAGCAGCACAATAATTCATACTGAACATGGCTACATAGACGCACAGAATCATTCCCTGCTCTCGCTGGGGTACGATATGTGTTTTGGATACTGAAGGTTTTTTTCGTTACGGTATTAAGGAAATGTTGCGTAAAGCTTCTCAGCAAGTCAATCAGGCAAGGAAATTGTTTCTCTGAGATCTCGCATTTGAGCAGTGCGGGGTAAAGTCTTTAAGGCCTTCTTCACCGCACAAGGCAACTAAACGGGCTCGACGTAGTTAGCCGGGTACAAGCCTCGCTGACCGCTGTCCAACCGGCCTCTGCACCAACCCTGCTCGTCCTCATCCTCCAGTTTGGTCAGCTCTTCTCCTGCGAAAACATATGGATCTACAGTTAATACGAGCTGATAAAATGCAAAGATATGCTTTTTTTTAATAAGAATAAAACACTGATTTTTGTAGTAGCTGTGCTAGTTTCATGTCTCATGTCTTTTGATCCATTTTTGTCAGGATTCTTTGATGAACAGAAAGTTTTATTTAAAATAGAGTCAATTTTAAATGTCCTTACTGTCACTTACGATCAATTCAATGCATCCTTGCTGAATAGAAGTATTAATTTCTTTAAAAAAAATAATAAAACCTCAACCTTTTGAGTCAGCTAAAAGTTTAGTTCATCAGCAGTTCACTAGCATATAGATCACCTCAAAAGACATGAAAAAACAGAAACTAAGTATGTTCATAAAAAAGACGTAGACCTAGATTTTAAGGATCAAACACTGATTTTCTAGTAGCTGTGCTAGTTTCATGTCTCTTGACTTTTTCTTTTCACATAATAAAATGATAATTATAAAATGATATTTAATGTTCATTTATTTATTTGTTTTGGCAAGTGTACTTTACTGATTTTAACCCTTACATACATTAAAAGCACAACTCACTATTCGAATATTTAAAAAAAAAACATTGTTTTGAGAACATTTTTATGAACGTTTCAATGACACTTTACAGTAAGAAAACAGGTACACTTTAACATTCCCAGAACCAAAATGGAATGTTTGGGAAAACATTTATAGAACATAAATTGTAGGTTATAATATTTTCAGAGCATTATTTAAACATTTATATTTTTATAGTAAAGATTTCTATTTAAAATTAATGCTGTTCTTTTGAACTTTCTATTCGTCAAAGAAGGTTTTCACAAAAATATGAAGCAGCACCACTATTTTCAACATTGATGATAATAATAAGCAGTCTCTTGAGCAGCAAATCAGCATATCAGAATGATTTCTGAAGGATCATGTGACACTGAAGACTGGAGTAATGATGCTGAAAAATCAGCTTTGATCATAGGAATAAATTACAGTTTATATTATATTCATATACAAAACAGTTATTTTAAATTGTAATAATATTTCACAATATTACTTCTAGCCAAGGCTGTATTTAAAACATCTTACCAGTCCCAAACTTCTGAAGGGCAGTATGGGTCTCACAGGTTTTGATTGGTGATTCTCACCTGCTTTAAATGTGAGCTCATCTTGTTCTTGGCCCTCGTAGTCATACAGCGCTCTCACTCGCACTCCTTTACTCTCCTCTTCGAACGGATTTTCACCGCCGTTTGTTTCGCTGGCTGGTTGAGCCGCAGGCGGCTGCTCGTCATCGGACCATTCGGCCGAATACTGCTGGTTCTTCTCAGAACTGCTCACGCTGGGGAGAACAACCAGATGAGAGAAGCTCAAGATAGTTCCTTCATAGATTAGAACATTAACTAAGAGCTTCAATAGCACAAAAGCATCAGTACCTGCCCCGGTTTGCAGTCTGCGGTGTGCCCTGATCTACACCATGTGTGACTTGAGTCAACGTGACTCCATCATGGTTCCTCTTCACCTTCTCTTTCTTATTAATGGAGTGGCTCAGCTCTGGGTTGAACTCCTGATTCAGAGACAGGATGGATTATGAGTGATATTCAGTAACTAGCACCAGATATGTGGTGTTGCACATCCTCACAGATCCCACATACTGACTTTACCTCAAACTGCGGCCAGTTCATGTGCATGCCTGGCCCGTGGACGTTGCTGAACAACTTGAGGTCTTCTTGAGCACTGGCTGAGGCGATGGTTCGCTCTAGTTCCCTGTAGACTGCAGCATAGCTGTAGAGATCGAATTATAGAGATTATTAGGAGACTTATGACTGGTTTGGTAAATGCAATTTTCTTGTATATTCATGTATTTCCTGTTCAAATAGGAAGTTGGGACTGGACATCGTAGGGCTTGTCATACTTGACAAGTTTATAATTTGTGAATATTGTATATAAACCAGCATTTTGAGAAAGATTGTAAATTATAAATCATATAGTCTGGGGTTGTATGATTTTTTTTGTTTTTGAAAAAACTCTCTTCTGATCATCAAGGCTG